GTTGTCACCAATATGGAAATTATACTCATCTGAATCTCTTGTGCTTCCAGTGGATCTCAGGGAGGCTGTGGATACAGTGAACCAGTTATGAGATGGATGAGGGCTAACAGGCTGAAGCTGAATCCTGACGACCAGAGTTGCTAGTGCTTGGAGGAAGGATTGATCCAGGAACTGATATGTGTCCTATTTTGTAAGATGCAGCTGGACTCAGGTCTCCTGCTGGAAAAAGAGTACCTTTCACCAAAGTTTGTCTTTTCTTAGGCAAAAAAGATTGTGCCACAGTAGTGCATGTCCTGCATCTCTATTAAACTACTGAAATGTGCTCTGTGTGGAGCTTGCTTTGAAGACTCTCTGGAAGCTACAATTGGTGTGGAAAGCTGCAGCCAGAATTCTGACTGGAGTGGGTCATATGGAACATATTGCTCCAGCCTTGTTCTGCCTATACTTTTAGGCCCAATTCAAGGCACTGTTTTTGACCTTTAAAGTCTTATGTGGTTTGGGGCCAGCATGCTTTAAGGACAACCTACTCTGACATGAACCTACTAGACCATTGTGGTAACCTTCAGAGGCTGTGGTTTTATTTCTCCACCATCTAACTAATACTGGGGGGGGGGGAACTCAAGAAAGGCCATTCTCAGTTCTGGCATCAAAATTATGGGATTCCCTCCCTAAAGAGATTAATCTGTCCCCTTCCACCAGCAGCTGAAACCTTTTCTATTTTGTGTAACATTCCCTCGCTAACTTTCACTGACCTTTTTTGTATGTGTGTCTGCATGTTTTGTTTAAGTTTTATGTCTGTGTGTATGTGTTTTAATCTTGTTTTAGGGCTTTTCCTCATGAGTTTTTCCCCCATTGGTTCTTGCCTGTACTGCTTTGGGTTATAAACTTATTTCTGCACACATTTCACTTGGATTGGGGGGGATCCTTCCCCCCCCCGGTTCTTTTGAGATCACTTCTACCCCAATGTTATTCTGGAAGCTGATTTTGAGTAGCTTTTTCCCTCGTATGTAATATTTGTCAGTTTCCTTTGTCCCACTCACTCCCACCTACCTCCAGCCCACTGTTCGATGATTGGACTGCCATGGTCAAACCACTCCCCCCCCCAAAGATAAGTAGTTTCATTTTCTTTTTTTAAATGACACTAAAATATTGATATATCAATAGAGCATTGTATCAACAGGTTTAGTGGGTTCTCAGAATTCCCAGGTTTAATTTTTCAAAACAGTAAGTCTTTAGTCTCTCCCTTTGTGGAGATATGCCTTTTTCCTTATATCTCCATGAGGAAAGGGGCTAGAACTTTTTGAAATGAAAGCTGGCAATTCAAAGAACCTGCTAAGCCTATTGTTTCAGTGCTTATTAAGATATCAATACTTTAATGTCCTTCTTAAAAGGGGGTGCTGTGATGCCACCAATGACACCACTATGACAACACCCTCCCTTTAAAATCCTCATTATTGAAGGAATGTACAAAAGAAAATAAACTGACTCAGAAACTGTGAAAGGGTAGAGGGAGGGCAGATGTGTGGAAGAACTGTGCCCAAACTAATTCCAGTGCCTGTGGATTGACTGCAAAGAAAATCAGGAGTAAGTCAAGTGTGTGGAAATACCTTACATCACAGGAAAGATTCCTCTGTCAGAGAAAGACTCTCACTTGGTAGAAGAAAGAAAGTTTGGATCTATTCTAATATTTTATGGTCAGCTTTATCTTTCTGTTGTTAATTATTTTCGGGTTGTTGATCTTAAGTGTTTTTGTTTTTATTGATGTTTTACAGTGGACTTTGGGGACTTTTAGATTCATTTTTGTATTGTTTTGAATCTTCAGTTTAATAGCTCCCCTTGGAGCATCTCTAATATTTTGCAGGATAAATGCATTAATTATGCCTAAAAAATATTTCAAAAGGCATACTGTAATTTCAGACAAATTGGCAATATTACTAACATGCCAGAGTAATATAAAGATTTAGTTTAATGTTTGCTGTTCTGTCAAGCTTCGACCTAAAGATTTCTTTCCAACTAAATTCTCTTTTTCTGTATTACCAGTAAGCATTTCCAATAGTAAGATTTAAAGAGAAGTTTTAGCTTACAGCTATGAACCATATGATCTTATAAATTTCATTAGCCAAGATGATCTCATTTTTACAAATTTAAAACATATAACTCATAAAATGCTGTCGGGTTGCCATTGACCCAGGTGCTTATAATGTGTTAATTTACATCAAAGACACAGTCCTATATGGAATGGGGCAGTAGACAGGATTTAGCCATTTTTCATTACCGCTTGGACTTTGATAAAGGGGAACAGAAAAGAGCTTTGTGACCTTTCAGTGCTTAAATTATTAAAGTGCAAATAGATTTGAGGTCTGGTTGCTCACAAATCTAATTTGTCTTTTAGAGTAAAGATGAAAAGACATTTTGGGTTTGAAATTGCTCTAGTCAACTTGTACTTTCTTTAACATATTGAGGATGAATTCAGGCATTTAGAATGTGCTGTAATGGAGTGCTGTGTGTAGTATAACCCATATGAACTGATCAGAGTAAAAGTAGACTGGAACAGCAATTTTATTTCTAGAATATATGCATCTATTTATAATGTCTGTATAAAAGTAGAAAATAATTAAAATAACCTTTCAGTCCGTTTGTGAAGATAATGCATATTCTGCTTATAGCTTGTTGTTTTCATTTTTAGAAATTGTACATATTGGCTTGGATCCCGCAAAGGTTTCCATGGATAGAAAGATTTCTGCCCATAGGGCATGACTTTTCCCCTCCCCTCTTCCATTGCAGCCACATCTGTATATTTTTTTTCATACCAGACAGCCAACAATGCTCCCCAAAATGCTTTTCCATGTGGGTAGAACTCATCCCATCTGAGAAAATATTCCAGTCAATCCAAGCCATAATCTTGCTCTGTTGGTTGTTTAAACTACAGATTTTACCTAGAAACAACAGCAGTAGGTAATTTATAGTGCAATGATAAGGACTCTTTCCTGGGAGTAAGCCCCATTCAATAGACTTAAATAGAATCCTGAGTGGACATGCTTAGGATGTTATTGTTGTTGTTCAGTCGCACAGTTGAGTCCGACTGTTCGCGACCCCATGGACCAGATCACGCCAGGCCTTCCTGTCTTCTGCCGTCCTCTGAATGACAGTGTTAGGATGACAGTGTTATTAAAATAAGAATCTACTAGAAGTTTACTACAACTTATATTAGAACATAGGACAGATGGCAATTCGGCAAGCATAGAATTAATTTATTTTGGAATAAATAGTGAAAATTGTGACAGGCAAAGATTAAGTCAATTGAGCTGCAAGTCAATTGGTAAAGGGGGGGAACCTCTGTGAAAGGGCTTAAAAGGAAAGAATACCAGATCTAGCACTGCCATTTTGAAGGTGGCGCTAAGCTCCACCCCCCACATGGATTGAGTGCAGGCAGAGATTTCACCTAGAAACTCTACCTGCAGCTGGCTTGCTATTTCCCTTTTAAGTCAGCACAAAGGAGGTTTTTCTTTGTTCCAGCTTAAAAGGGAAGGCCCCAGCAGTCCCGTGAGTCATGCTACCAAAGAACACAATGTCATGTGAGAGGTCCTCAGTAAAACAGCACATGCAGGTAAAAATCCCTATGCGGAAACAGCCCAGGACTAGACTGCATTAAAAGTACTCTGCTCAAATATGTGAACATTTAGCAAATGTTAGTACTATTTCAGTGGCTCAGCATTCTCACAATTCCAAAATCAGTTTCCAGTGGTACGGATTCCAGAAATTTTTAAAGCAGAGTGCTTTTGCACTGCTGAAACATTGATGGTTTTAGTTTCTCAGATGAGCAAAATGTGCAGAATTTATGGGTTGTGCTTTTTTCTACTTCTGTTAGAATATCTACTGTTCTACAGTTGAATTAAGTTCCTATAAGCCTAAAATGAATGCAGATGCTTCCTTTGAGGTCAGAAATTGATAACCATGTTAACTGAAAGCTTAAAACGTTGCTTCTGAAATACTTGTTCAGCTCGCACAAAGTACCCTCTGCATCTGTAGTACTAACAATCTGGGACCAACTTTTTGAAATGTTTATGTGATTTATCAAAATTGCCAGACTTAATTATTAGTAATGTCAGTTTGCTTTGCATTTTCTTGCCTGTTTTTTGTCTCGGCATTTGATATGGTATGACATGGCATCTGAACAAGGTAAATGACTTTAAGCAAAGAATCTGTAGCCCCATACATTCACATACACACACACAAACCAGACATTTTTCCTCTAATTTATTTTATGAGAGTAGCTAGAAGTGTTACTTGTGTACATGGGAATCTATGGAATGTTTTTAAAATGTATGATGAATATTATTGTTGTTGTTGAAATGAAAGAACAAAATTTGAGCCAAGTGGCACCTTTAAGACCAACAAAGTTTTATTCAAGGTATAAGCTTTTGTGTGTGTGCACACTTCTTCAGATACAGTGGAAAAAAACGTCCTCAACCATTACATATAGATACAGAGGGGGCGGGTTAGTTGCCATGAAGGGCTAGTTAGAGTTCTGCTGCTTCAGACCAACATGGCTACCCACCTGAAATTATTGAAATGAGTTAAGATTAAAAACTTTTAAAACCAGCATCCGTGGGGAATTCGGGTTGCCAGTTAATTAAATATGCCAGTTAACACAGGTTTTATCCAGTCCAGTGAGTTGGCCGGTTCCCATCCAAATTACTTGGCCAACTCCCACCTGAGTCAGTCAGTTTGCAGATGAGAGAGCTGGGCAGCTGCAGCCCAACTCACTTGACTAGTGGACAGTTGAGTGACTAGCGACAATCGTCCGACATTTGCACCATATGTGGGTTAATCAAGCTTTCTGCTTCAATGGGTACCAGTTAACAAAGCTTCTGTGTGTCAGTTATAAATACTGTAGTATGTGATTTCAAAACAAGTTTTGATCAGGTACTTGAATATAACCCAGAATCTTTTCTCATTTCAACTTCCTTCACCCCCCTTGTTTTTGTTTTTGTTTCTAGTGTCTACCAAATAGTTGTTGAAGAAGAGCGTCCCCATGGAACAAAAAAAACAACTGAAATCCTGAAATGCTATCCAGTCCCAATTCACTTCCAGAATGCTTCACTCTTGAACTCTCAGTATTATTTCGCAGCAGAGTTTCCAGCCAACAGTATTCAAATTGCTCAGCCTTTTACAATTGGTGACAACAAGACGTACAGCGGCTTTTGGAATGCACCTCTTCTCCCCCATAAAAGCTACAGTATTTACTTTCAAGCTGCTAGCAGAGCCAATGGGGTAAGTCTTAGGACACTGGCAGTTTAAAGCAGTATCCGTATGTGAGCAGACTACAGTATTGCAATTTTTATGCCAAAAAAAGACAAGAGAAATGACATAGTTCTTTCAAACTGGGAGGGGGGGGGGAAACCTGGGAAATATTTCTTGTAAACTATCAGCCATTCTACCTTCTTTTTGTTCTCTTGGCTCTTCTAAAATGCCTTTTGCTTTTATAGTATCAGTCTCCTTGGCTCCTTCAAATATATTACATTAGTGCATGTCACTTTAAATGTCCATTTTAATTCTTTCATTGCCCCGATTTAGACATAGACTTTTGTTTTGTTGTCTCTCCAATAGAATAAGAGAAATAAGTTGCTTGAACCCTAGTGAAAAGTACATAAAAGGCCCTTCGTTCGTAGATCACATTTCATCTAGCTGATTCTTTCTAGAATTGTTTTCCATTTCCTGGGCATACCTAGCCAGAGTCCTTCAACTCCTAGCATGGTTTTGCTGTCTCCCTTGACAGCGTGGAAATGTTTTCTGCCAAATGCCATAATGGCCGCTTCTTTTACAGCACACTGACAGTGCAGAAATGTGAAGCATCATTGATTTTTGTTTGCTTTCCTAGCATGTTGCTTAGAACTGTGTAGTCAACTGTAAAAAAAAAAGGTGGAGGTAGGAGATATGGCAAGGTCAGTGTATTGTCAAAGAAGAAGAAAATGTGAATGTATCATGTCTAATAACAGCTCATTCATTTCCTAGGTTAATGTTAAGTGAAGTAGTGATGTTATGGGCCCATACATTTTCCTTCAGTTGTCCATAGAAGGGCAATTTCATTGAGGCAGTACCAGAGAAAATTATGGATGGGATCCATTTTTTTCCCCTTCAGAATTCTGCAGGAGTGTAAATGGAAACAATGTATTGTGTTATTTCTTATAGATGCAAACCCACAAATAACATATCCTTTTTTTGTCTGACATAGGAAACAAAAATTGACTGCGTCAGAGTGGCCACAAAAGGTATGTTTCAATTGTGTCTGGCTTCCTGGACTTAAATCTATTGACCTTTATGCCAGAATGTTTACATTGCTAAATAGACATAAAATTCTCCCAAATCATAACATTATTTTTTTAGCTTTCTACACAAACAACTCTTCTTTTCCTGATTGTAATTTGCATGATATCATATTAAATATTTTAGCAAATTTAAAATACAGCATTATTAATTTTAAAAAATATCCAGTAGAACAGCCAAAAATAACACATTCTCCCAGCTTTCTAAAGTGACCACATTTTAATTGTTTTTAAAAGAAAAATGCAGTAGGGTTTTCAAATGGATGATTCAGACCAACTGTTCCTATTGGGACTCCTGGAATGGCTTCAAAGAGCAATAGCTGTCATCTCTGCTTCCTGTTGGGATGGTTGCTTTAGATTTCCTCTCTGAGACAAGCAGGCTACTGTTGGGAGCATGAGAGTCCTAGTCACTGTTCCCTCTAAGCTGAGTTAGTGTGAGCTAGCTCACTGTTTTTTAGCCTCCAGCTCACACATTTCTATCTTAGCTCAGGAGGGATGTCTCCAGAGCAAACTAATTTATGCAGCAGCCAAATTGCTCGCTCACAGCTTTATTGCCAGTAGCTCACAAAGTAGAATTTTTGCTCACAGGACTTCACAGCTTAGAGGGAACCTAGGTCCTAGTGACCTAATGATTACCATTTGTGGGCTTCTGACCATAAATCTGGACTGGTGTAATACATTCTGTGTGATGATTGTTCAGAAGTTTCACCTAGTATGTATAAACTGGGCAGTAGGAACATGTTGTACCAGTGCTCCAGTGGCTTCCTGTAGTCTTCCAAATGTGACTGAAAGTGAATTTTAAAGAATAATATAATGTAGGGTTTTATATAAGGTTTGTACTGTCAAAGCACTAACTGACTTAGGACCTGTATACCTTTAAGCCCCACCCCTTCATTACAGTCTCACACTTTAGGTAACAGTTTCCTCTTAAGCACACCATCTGCAGGCCAAATGTGGACAACCGGGGCCCATTTCACAGAAAGACATCCATGGTAGTTATTTCCTAACAACCAACATGAATGTTTTTAGGTTGATTTACTTGCTTGACTGGCCATGCTTATGGAAATGTCATTTTCATTTATTTTTAAAGTGAGATTCATTGTAATTTTTAAAGTGCTGTATTCTTCTTGATATGACTGATAAACATGTCTAATGCAGATTAGTTTCTTAAAATAAGATTAGTATTTTCAGAAGAATGCTGTCATTTCCTACTTCCGTCAGAAACAGATTATTCATGATATTTTTTGCAAGTGAGCTTTTATAACTTAATATAGGGTATGGTACAGAATTGTTTTCTGTGGCTCCAGAAAGTCAAACCAGAACCAATGGGTTGAAATTAAATCAGAAGAGTTTTCAGCTAAACATTAGGAAGAACTTCCTGACAGTTAGAGTGGTTCCTCAGCGGAACAGGCTTCCTTGGGATGTGGTGGGCTCACCTTCTTTGGAGGTTTTCAGACAGAGGCTAGATGGCCATCTGTCAGCAATGCTGATTCTGTGAATTTAGGCAGATCATGAGAGTGAGGACAGGAAGGATTGCATCAGTGCTTACTTCCTGTGGCCCTTTCTTACACGGCCAGGGAAATGCTGATCGTCACGTTGGGGTCAGGAAGCAATTTGTCTCCAGGCCAGTTTGGCTGGAGATCCTGGAGGGTTTTTGTCATCTTCTGGGTGTGGGACAGCAGTCACTGGGGCTGTTGGGGGGGGGAAGTATTTGTGAATTTCCTACATTGTGCAGGGGGTTGGACTAGATGACCCTGGAGATCCCTTCCAACTCTATGATTCTGTGTATCATTTTATGATTCTGGGAACCTGTTTTGAAATGTGTCAAGTCTTACTAATACACTGGGCCTTTCCCCCCTAACAGCAGCTCCCTGTAGTGTGTTGCAAACCAATTTTGAAGCTCCCCCAAGGTTTATAACTACCTTCTCAACTAGTGTTAGTGGACTACTTTAAAACAGATTAGTCAAAAGCCCAATTTGGCACTCAGATTTAACCATGCAGGTCTGGATTGTAGCCAAAGCAATTTTCTTGGATCATTATGGGCATTTCTCAGACCACATTGCTGACACAAGCTGTAATCATCTATATATCTGTTTTTCAAGTGTGGGCCAATCTGCAACTACCTAAATCCACAGAACCAGCCCACGCTGAAAGAAAGGAGATTTTTCTCCAAACTTCGAGCTCTACAGGTTTGCAGAAAAGTCTTACCTCAAAAGGATTCTCAGCTGTGATGGTGGGGGGAACCATGGTGGGTGACTAGCAGGATGATAATTTAAAGGGGGATATATCACAGGTTCCCACTTGTCTGTATATCTCAAGTATAGGCAGACCTGTGGATACATAAATCCATGGATTGGACCCTGAGATACTGAGAGAAAAATCTAAACACATAAATATATATATGGGGAGTTAAATCCCCCAAAATGTTTTCTGTGCATGTGCATAGCACTAATCTATCAGACTTCAAGAAGCAGCACTGGGGGGCTGAGGGGGACAAGGAGGATTCTTTGCTTCCCTCCCCCCAGCCCCCCATCTGCCTGCAGTCTGACCAATTAAAAGCCAGGATAAAGTTTTAAAAGGACAGCTGAACCAGCAGCTATGGAGGCGAGAAGGAGCTTTCTTACCCACTTGCACCCCTCTTTAGCAGGGAAAGTGATAGAGAAGGGAGAGAAAAAGAGAGGTGGGTAAGATGGCCAGGGGAGGGGAGGGGAAGAAAGGGGGGGGTGGAAGATTATTTGAGAATGGGAGAAGGGAAGGGAGCAAAGGTGGAGTAATGGGATGTACCCTCCCTGCAAGTTTCCTGCAGGTCCCCACTTGCATATTCTAATGGCAACACCAGCCAAATCTGAGGATACTTAAATGCAGTGACTGGAACTGTGTACAGGCAAGATAGATCTTTCTAAAAATTTGAAAACACCCCCGGTTTGCAGAAAAATGTGAAGTCTAAAAAAATGCACTGGGCTTTTTAAAAAAATCCAAAATGATAAAAGGAGTGCCTGTAGCTTTAAGAAATGGATTCCCTCAGTGGCCATCGCTAAGCAGCCACAGCATTCCAGGCTTGGTTTCAATGCATAAAAGACGATGGTGCAGGGACCTTTCCAGGGCTCTTTTGGCCTTTGAAGAAGAACTCATTGGGGCCGGGCCTGGATAGGAGAGGCCTTAGCCAGATATAAGTCCACAGAGTCCACCCTCCAGAACTGCCAGTTTCTCAGAGCTGCCTGAGCACGTAAATAATTTGTTTCATTGAAGAGGGAAGAATGTTTTGTGTTAACGTTCACGGATTAGAATTGTTGATGTGTAAACCAATGTTATTCACGCAGCACACTTAGATAAAGCGGTTGTGTGAAATGGGAGTATATGCAAATTCCATTAGTGTGGATGCATACATCTTGTTGATGAAATACTACTCACTGCAAAACAGCAATCTAAATATATATTTTCATTATACATCACGGCTGTTTTCTTCATTGTTTGCATCCTTCCCGTGATTTCTCTGTTGTTTCTACAAATTTCTCCAGGGTGGCAGATCTCTGTTGTCAGGAAATCAGTTATAATTCTGGGAGATCTCCAGGTCTCATACGGAGATTGTTTAACCTTAGACCTAGCAGCAACCACTGGGTGACTTGATGTTACCCAACTTGCATGACTCAACTAGGCCTAGTTGCTTCCTACTGTTTAAGAGCAACCACCCTATGAAATCCAGTGTGGTATAGCATTTAAAGCATCAGAGTAGGAGTCAGAGTAGGGTTTGGGAAACCTAGCTTTGAATCCCCATCTTGCCATGGAACCTCCCCGGGTGATTTGGGGCTGGTCACATACTTCCAGCCTAAACTATGTAAAAGGGTTGCTGTGAGGATAAAAAGGAGAGGAAAATAATGTAAACTGGTTTGGTAATTTAGCTTATTTATACCTTACCTGTGGAGAAAGGTGGGGTATAAATGAACTAAATAAATAATATAGCTGAAGATGGGAGGCAGATAAAAGGTTGGTTAGTGAATGACTGAGGAGAGAATGAGGCAGGAAAAGGGGAGAGAATATGGGGGTTGCCAGGTGGAGGGAAAGGAAATTGTGCAAGGAGACAGGAAAAAGTGAGGTGTACCCCCAACCCAAGTACTTAAGGATTCCCTACCATACAAGGAACCTGGTCCAGTGGCTGGCACCTCACAACTGGGCCATAGTTTTGTAGGAGGGGTGAAAATGAAGATAGGTCAGATAAATGTATATTGGGTAGGAAGGAGAAAAGGAAATCGCAGGAAAGGGGAAAATGAGATGCCTTCCACCAGTCCTCGTGGGTTCCCACTTGTTCCATTTAATATTATATCGTATAGTACATTCTTACCAGCATGATGGTATCATTTTTACTCATTTTTAAGAACAGCATAGTTCATTGTTTGATTTTTTTGTGTTCTATGAGATTTTTTGATTATGTGATAACACTTCTTTGGTCCACATATTGAGAGTTATTTTGCTTGTAAAGATCTAGGCATACTTCTGAAGTTTACTTAAAGTATAAAGTGTATTTTACCAATTAGTATGTCATTCCTGGTCATGTGGAATTCATGTGGAATTTTGTTCACTTTGTGATCTGCACTTTTTAAAAAATGAACCATAACAAGAGTTTGGTCTAATTTATTCTAAACAGTTTAATTTAGCAGTATCACACAACAATCTGTGTTTTAAATCTTAAGAAGGTAACTGCTAAAATACAACACATAGCATACATGCTATATATTGGTGGCATGTGCTATATTCGCTCAGGTTAAACCACTGCAGCTGATAATATTAGGGTTGCCAAATATGTTTTGGCCGGGAGCGGGGGGCTCCCGGCCGGCGTCTGGAATGTGCACGTCACTTCCGGGTGACGTGCACGCGGGGGTGGGGTTTCCCCGGGTCCCGATTCCGCGGGAGCGGAAAGCGGGGCTCGAAAGCGGGGGGAAATCCGCCCC